TTTTTCTTGAAGTTAAATAGTCCGCAATCCATCGGCAAATCATTTGATGAATGTTCAAGTTCTGCAGTTTTTGAATCATAATCGAGTGTAATACCGTATTGAAGGCCTTACTGAAGTCCAAAAATAAGCAATCAATCTGTCCTCAATTATCTAAAACTCATGCTGTATCATCATAGAATTCAATTAATTGGGTTGTACATGAAAAACCCTGTCTAAATCCGTGTTGTTTATGATTTTAAAAATTAATTGAAGTCAAGTGATTCATTAAGGCAGAAAAAGAACATGTTCAAGTAATTTACAACAAATTGGCGTCAGAGAAATCGGTCTGTAATTTGATACATCTGATTTAGAACCACTTTTGAAAATGGGCACAACATTAGCTATTTTCCAGTCATCAGGAAGCTTGCCTTCATCGAGTGATTTTTTCTAAATAACATAAAGATAACAAGCTAGTGCCTCAGAGCATTGTTTTAAAACTCTTGGTGATATGCCATCTGGGCCAGTTGATTTACTTTCGTCAAAGCACTGCAACAACTTCACTATGGTTGACAAAATGGTTTTCATCCTATCTCAGCTGCCGTCAGCAGTTTGTTCAAATAAAAAATAAACAGTCTAGAGCAGTTGCAGTTATTTCCGGAGTTCCCCAGGGGAGCGTGCTGGGTCCCCTTTTATTTTTGTTATATATAAATGACCTACCAAACCGGGTTACGGTCCCGATAAGGTTGTTTGCCGACGACTGTGTTGTTTATAGCAGAATCGAGACTGAACATGACCAAGTTAATCTAAACAACAATCTTCTAAGAATAAAGGATTGGTGCGAAGAATGGCAAATGAGTTTGAACACAGAAGAAACAGTCTTTATGACTATAACTAGAAAGAAAGCACCTCTAGATTACAACTACCAGATTGGCAATGCTTTCCTTAAGCGTGTACAAAACTATAAATATCTTGGGTTATGGTTCACGCCCGACCTCCGGTGGAACACTCATATTGATAATGTATGCTCCAGGGCTACCAAGGCACTGTATAGCCTTAGACGTAACCTTTATACCGCCCCATCTGATATAAAGTGTCTTGCTTACAAAACCCTTGTCAGACCTATTATCGAATATTCTAAAATTGTCTGGGACCCTTACACAAAGACAAACTGCAATAAAATAGCAAAAATACAGCGACTTGGTGCGAGATTTATTTTTAATAAATATCGCCGACATCATTCACCTACTGAACTTTGTAAAAAGCTGGACTGGATAGTCTTGAACTTAGGACGAGGATTGAGCGTCTGAAATTCCTCTTCCAGTTAATTCATAATCATTTTAAACTAAACTATTCAGATTGCTTCCAGGTCAACACACAAGAACATTCCAGACATCGCCATAATATGTACATACCACCCCTAGTCCCACGTAACGATTGCTTTAAGTTTAGTTACTTTCCACGTGCTATTGAAGATTGGAATATGCTGCCAGAGTCTATAATTGGTTGTTCCTCGCTTACATCATTTGAACAGAATCTAAAACGTTTATTTTCTGAATAACAGTGGTTTGCGTGTGTACTTTTTGTTGGTTGCATGAGACTGTAGTAGTTGTCTTTCAAATCTTCAGTGCGGTGCAAAAGTGCCGCCTCAAATGCGTCATGTGCTGTTCTGCGCGTATGTATTGCATTGCATGTGTGTTCCATTTCTTGTTATGTATAACTTCGAGTTGCTGCTCACAATAATACCGAGAAATTATCTAGAGACCTGTACTCGCAAATAATTGTTTGTACTTCCACCCTGTAACCACCCACTTCTGGGCTAACAGTATAAATAAATGAAATGAAATGAAATGCCATTGAATGAAAGCTCTATCTCACCCACTGGCAAACATTGTTCTTTTTTATTTGCGACAATAATTTGGGTAGGAGGGCGGAAAACCAATTTTTAAATGTTTTTGAAAGGTGTCGCTCAATCTCTATCTTCAGTTACATTCTCACCTCCGTAACGTAGATTTGGTGGGCTAACCTTCTCATTACCACATCGTCTCATATACTTCCAAAACCTCTTCATATTAGGAAAGTCAGTGGCCAAACTGAGGATGCCACTGAGCCAGGAGGAAAACGTACTTCAACGTTCAAACGGCAAGCCATTTATACCTACCACTTACCACTGGTGACAGGCATCTCGGGAGGAATAATCGCGTTTTCAGCATTAGAAGCAAGATGACGCAATGAGCGCGCGTAGCCACATCGTCATGAAGCGGCGACGCGTGCTCTGATATCCCACGCATACTTTGCCCCGCGGAGAGGAGGGGGTGGACGCACCCTTATCTCGGGGTGGGGAGGATTTGACGTCTTGGCTGGCCTTCGGCTTTCACCGGAATGATTCTGTTGTAATTACCGGGCGCACAAAGGTCACTGCAATCATGGCACAGTCTCTGTTTGCGAAAAGAACGCGCTTTTCAGACACAGCGAAGTAACAAATAAGACGCTTATTCGTGTGCATCTACCTGATATTACGTTTTGTGCGTCGATTTTCTTATTTGCAACATAATATAGGTTGGATGGTGTCGTCATCAGCCCTTCAACATATCAACGGCTTATGTGGTATGCACGGAGAGTTTCGTGTTAATATATCTAAGTTGTTTATCTCGGGAAAAAGTTGCAATGTAGTGTTGGCATTTTGGGTGCGAAAATTATGTTGTACACCACATTCCTGAAGCAGTGTCTATATTTTGCTTTCAGAATATACGTTTGTTAACGCATATCTTGATTTTTTTTCTGAGGGAAGTGCAGATAGCTCAGCCCCTTGGATAACAGTACGAGGTAAAATTTGGAACAGAGAAAGAATATCATTGTTGTACAGGTCAATGTCCCACCTCTAATAATATAAGGTAAATATTAGGCACGCTCTCTGTGCTGCACCGGTGCTTTATAGTGTTTCCATGGCGGCTGTACAAGGACAAAGTTTCAGACCTGGCAATAAAGTTTGTCTTGCGGTGTTATATGTATAGTAAATGATTTACGATTTTGTCGATATTTTACGGGTTTGTGGAAAGCGAATCGCCATGATATGAGAATAGTTTAGAATCGCGCCGCACATAGGCTACATGTCTTCCTCATCAAATCTCTGTAGGTATTAGTTTGAATTAGAACCTGCAATATTGTGAGACTGTCCTCTCCCCACTTACAATTTTTTTTTGAAATACCCAGAAAGTACATCTTTAAGTAAACAGCAGCCTGTGCGCCATTTTTCGCTTGCCACTGTCATGAAAAACTATATATAGTGCAAGTCAAATAAAATATCGAACACAGAAACGGTACGTGACATTGTTCAATATTGCCGCGGAAGCAAAACTACCTCTTGTAGATAACTCTGTTTTACGTGCTGGTTCCAGTAACACTAGACATGTTTAATTTCTGTCTGTCATAACTATAGGTGCAACCACAGGGGAAAAGAATTCTCCACAGTGATCGCAATTTGGCAGAACTGTGGTATTTTACAATCGAACAAGTAATAAATAAAATATTTATAATTTCAGTGAGGCACTTTCCTGATTATGTCATCTTTCGAAATGTCATCCCTATTATCACGTACAGCGTAATCAGTGAAAAAAACAACAGTGTCACAACTCTCATATTTGTCAGTTTGGAAATTCCGCCTAAAGCTCACCAACATGCACGAATTAAGCAAGGTTCCCACGTAAGAGCTTCACTGTCAGCACTATCTGCGGGATAATCTAGCTGTGTCCGAGCCTATACGAGTCCATGAACGTGATAGAGTCAATTGTTTGTTTGTTTGTTTGTTTGTTTAACCATAAAGTGATGATATCACAGCCGCACAAGGTGTACCTGTTGATAGATGACACTATCTGTCATGCCGTTTCACACTTTCAAGGTTCCGGAGGGGTGAGTTGAACATTCAGCCGCATCAATAAAGACTGTTCGGTAAACGCTGTTACAGAGGCACTACAGCATGGCTTTTCAACTGCTCGGGCCACAGGTGTTGTGGCCCGAGAATTCCCCACCGGAGCCATGACTACAACCGAAGAAAAAAAAAGAAAAAAAAAGAGGCCCATGACAGTTTGGTTGAATGCTCAGTTGTCCCGTATGTGGCTCTCTTTAAAAGGACGTGTGAACTCTTTCTACATATTGTACACTCCCCAGGAAGTAGTGCGTATCACCTTAAAATATAGTTGTGGTGTCTCTTTGAAGAGAGTCATGAGCACGACAACTGAACAAGTGACACATAATTAACTCAAGCCGAATCGCGAGTTCGCTGAGTTGCTAGATGTTCATTGTGGAATATTTTACAGCGCAACGGGTTATATGCGCACAGAGCAGGTACACAGCGCTGAGCTTTCAACTGAAATTTATTTGAAAAAAGAAAGGAAATATATAGGAGACAATGAGTCATTGAAACTGTGCGCATGGGCACATGTGTTACAGCACAGCACGCTTCATGTCTTGTCTAACAGGAAGTTATATTCTTCATCTTGAAGAGTAATAGATAAATGACTTATGCGCTTGTTATTGTATTTATTGAAAAAAAGCTTCGGCTATCTCACGTCTGCGCTGATCACCATGTCTATATTTGATGGAAGTTTTCTGCAAGTAGGGCATACATCCGCATGATCTACAATGAGCTGCCAAATGAGACGTGATTGCATCATCTGATAGTGTTAGCTCATGCTCTCGGAAGCTCACGTTAATGCACCGGCCTGTTTGGCCTGTTAGACACGATAACTTCCTGTTGGACAAGACATGAAGCGTGTTGTGCTGTAACACATGCGCCCATGCGCACAGTTTTGATGACTCATTTGTCTCCCATATATGTCCTTTCTTTTTCCAAATAAATTTTATTTGAGACTTCAGCGCTGTGTCCCTACTTTGTCCGTATCTAACCCGTTGCGCTGTAAAATATTCCACGATGAGAAACTCAACAAGCGCACTTTGTTCGAAGAACCTTCTCGCCGTGCTACACCAGGAGCACCACTGGCGAGATTAGCGCCTGGGGCACTCACCGGTGTGTATGTAGGTGTGCTTCTTCATGTCCGACTTCTGGTGGAAGCGCTTGCCGCAATACTCGCACGGGTAGGGCCGCGTGTCCGAGTGGATCAGCAGGTGCGTGGACAGCGTCGAGGAGCGCTTGAACGTCTTGCCGCACTGCTTGCACTCGAAAGTACGCTCAGACGTGTGCACGGCGCGGTGCTGGCTGAGGCTGACCTCGTGGCCGAACGTCTTGTTGCAGAGCTCGCAGGCGAAGGGCCGCTTTCCGCTGTGCGAGCGCCGCGCGTGCACCTCGAGTCCGTGAGCCGTGGAGAACATCTTGTCGCACTTCAGGCAGGAGTACACGTCTGACAGCGGGTGCTGGTGCAGGTGGTGCAAGTGGTGCAGGTGGTGGTGGTGGTGGTGCGCTGCCGACAGGAGGCCGGCCGCCGACAGCGACTGTGGGCTCAGCCGCGGACCCAGCTCCAGCCGGTTGCATGGTGACTGCACCAGACAGAACGGGTGGGAACTTTATAGTAGAATTGTCCGGGTACAACTCCCCGAAAACTACGATATATTTTCATGGACGCCTTCATGGAGGGCTCCGGATCTTTCAGTCTTTTAATGTTCTTGAACGTGCACCTAAGCGTAAGTGTAAGCGCCCCTAGCATTTCACCTCAATTCAAGGTATACGGTAACCACGGCCGGAATTCCATCCCGCTACGTTTGGTTCAGCACTTGAGTAGCATAGCGAATTGATGACTGTGGCGTTTGTGTGCGAACTTCTCGCTCGTACGAAACAAAGCACGCATGAGCGAAAGGCAAGGTTTGTTAGCTTTTTGACCCTTTAGATTTTGTGGCATCGTTGACTGCAATAAAAAACTCGTAATTAAAAATGCGCGTTCGCCCTCTTTTTATGATATGCGATCAGCAGTCCCTGAAGTGAAAAGATTTTTGATTATACAAAAACTGCATGTGCGTAAGATTCTAAATTTTGTTTTCACATTTTAGGCATCTAAAGAAACCTGTTGGGCAAGTACCAATGAATTTTCTAAAAAATAACAACGTAAAAGCTAATTGTTTTTTTTTTTTGCAAGCATTCCCACTACCGAAACTAGCTTCTCGGAGTGTACAGGTTCCCGTTCGCATAATTTTATGTACTGCTGTTATCACTCTTTGTTTATTTATTTGTAAACCATACTACCTGTTTGTGACGGAGTAGGTGATGTACGAGCATATTGTGCAAAATGGTCTCAGAAGTTGTACTTCTTACTACACGAACAGCCGTACATTCCTTACATTCCTTCACAACACAGAAAAGAAAAATATTCGCAGTATATTCTAATTAGCTATTTTTTATCAAAGTAAGTGCTGCCGCTATCACTACTGTGTCCCATGACTTAAGTTGTAGGCCGAGGCAGGAACTGGCAATAGGGTTAGTCATTGATAAAAGACAAAAACTCTTTGCAGCGGTAAGGCATGCACCAAGCACTGATGATCGCAATCGGTGCGAAAACCAGACGACCTACTCGGCTGGCAAATCTGAAACGGCACCCATTTTGAAAACCATTCAGTATTCTATGGTGGTGTTCACAATACAGAACTACTGTGAACACCTACCCGGAACGGCGTTAACAATATGCAGTAGAAAAGTACCAGTTTTTGTGCGAAACAATAAGACCAAGTCATTTACGCGAGGACAAAGAATTACTGCTTTTTGTACGCTTCCCGGACTCTTAATGAGCATGTTCTTCACTCATGTGCACTTTATTCTCGAAGAATGTTTTTTTTTTTTGATACAGGAATGTCTGACAGCCCAACATACGGCTGTTGTGTGGGTAGATGAACAAAATTCTGCATGCGCCCTCACAGTTTTGAGGAGCAGCCGGTGAGTGTTTCGGACACTCGACAGCCGCTCACTGGCAGACCGAAAGGTGTCAGGACAGTAATCACAGCGGACATGTGCACTAACAGAAGATTTAGTCCACTTTTAAGGTTTACGGGTCACTGCGAAATGCAGTGATCGTGATTTACGTCTCCTGCCTCAATCCACTTTCCCCAATTTTGTCTTTCATTAACCTATTTCTGTCACTTGAGGTGGTCCTGTTCATACGTCTTGAATTTGTGATGCAACGACTTATTATAGAATTCAATTGTCCCATAATCCGTGTGCGGCGAAGTTTTCCGACATCACAAAATATGCACAAAATAATCACACCACATGCACGTCTTTTCTTTCCTCTATGGCACGCGGCAAGTTACATTGAGAGGGGAGTGGAGGAGGCGTGACCTAAATTATTAGCTTCTGAATGTGAGCCAGTTGGTACGCACATATAAGTAAAGCAGCACAAAATAACAAAAATACACTGACAAACATACACAGGGAGGCTAGCACTAGTCTTGGGTCTACCTGAGCGATTTTATTTTTCTCTTGCTTTAAGTGTTACCCAAACTTTACGCTGTTGCGCGCCATATCGTTGAGAATTTCCTCTTTCATTTCTGTTACCACAATGACCGCTACGTCTGCTTCAGGCTTGCGTAGCCCCAAAACGTAAAGCTCCCCCCCCTCCCCCTCTGAGCAGTGGTTCCTCTACATGGCGAGGCAGTTCGCTTCCAAGATGGTATGCTGACGTGGCCTTCGCTTTTTGTCTAATCAGTCAATAACCTTCATGCTGCCTTGTCTGTCTGTCACGGAAAAAAGCAAGCGATTGCTGGCTGCCTTCAGCACGCAATCGTCAAAACTTAGATGCGTGTAGAACAGCAATCTTTTCAACCACATGTTCACAGCAGCCCCTAACTAATGATGACCCTACCGCGGGGGTCTAGTGGCTAAGGTACTTGGCTACTGACTCGCGGGTTCAAATCTCGGCTGCGGCGGCTGCATTTCCGATGGAGGCGAAAACGTTGTAGACCCTTGTGCTCACATTTGGGTGCACTTTAAAGAACCCTAGGTGGTGGAAATTTTCGGAGCCCTCCACTACAGCATCTCTCAAAATCATATGGTGGTTTTGGGACGTTAAACCCCACATATCAGTCAAATCAAATCAACCCTAACTAATGATGGGCAGCGTTTTATGTTCACGAAGTGTTGAAATCTTCATTTAATTCCCCCCCCTTTCTCCTAACCGAGTTGCAAGAATTTTTTTTCGTTCGCAAGTGATCTTTTCCATTGGCAAGCCGTGTTCAGTAATCATACGTCTATAGTCTAGGCATTCGCTGAGACATCCTCATATAAACAGTAGGGATGTAAGAGTTACTGCTGGAGGTTGCTGGTTTACATGGTTTAACGACCAGAACGAATCAACATGACAGGCAGCATAGTGCAAGCCTTCGAAACCGCCAGATAATTTTGACCGTCTGGTGTTTTTTGAAGCGCACTGAAGTCGCAAAGTACAAGTCTCTACCAATTCGCCTTTATCTTAATTTCGTTCGCCGCATCCAGACATCAAACCCACGTCTTTTTGAGCCAGCAGCAGAGAACCTTCGCCACTCGGCTGCCGCGGTGGTGAGAAAAGAAAACAATGACTCCTACCATGGAGGATATTAGACCTGCTCCACCAGGATCTCTTGAGGAAGGACTTAGAGCTTGGCGGCCGGGGGTCTTGTTGGCCGCCTGGGACGGTGGCGTCGGCGGCGAGGAGGCCGCGCTGCCGAGACCCAGAGGACCCTGTGCGGGAGTTGACGTGGCACTGGAGGCCGGCTGCAGACTCGGAGGCCCAGTGGGTGGCGGGGCAGGTGGGGGTGGCACGATTGCGTCGGCGAACAACCATGGCTTGACGGCGCCCACCCGCAAGTCGCATGTGAGTGAGCCCAGGGCAAAAGGCCGCAAATGGAGCGCCGACAGACCCTGTGCTGCAGCCGCAGCGCTAAACAGCTTGGATGATTCTGTAGCAGCTGCCCCAGACTTGCCTCCACCTGTGGAACCAATACAAACGCATCACAGCAATGTTAGTAAGCAACGGGATACAGGCGCCAAAACGGCCCATGACGATCAAAGTTTTGGTCAACTCCTTTTGCGATTCTTTTTTCACATTATGAAGTGTCATGCGCATGAGTGTGCTTTTGTAGAGGGACCATAAACAGAATGCGACTTTTCTTGTCTTAGTGAACTACCATTCCACTATACCAAATACATTTCTTTTATCTGGAAAAGACGTTCAGTAAGTGAGAAAACACTCAAAAACAAAACACTGTTCCCGCCTCTACATTGAAGCTCCCGCCCCAGCTCGCCTCAACGTCATAAATTATGAGGGCTCTGCTGAGGCTTACGCAATATTTTAGACTGATTTATCAGGGCGAAAAAGACGGGACATTTAGAGAGACACACACACACACACAGACATTTTGTAAGACACACACACAGAGAGAGCGCTGTGTGTATGTGTCTTTCTAAATGTCCCGTATTTTTCGCCCTGATAAATCAGTCTAAATAATCATGAACCAACTCGCCCAAGCAACAGTTTTAGCAATATTTTAGCAGTGAAAATTATGTAGTGTGTGTTATCCCGGGCCCAAAGTCTCACCATAGCAAGTTTCAAAAAAATTCCAAGGAACTAATGTTGCCAAAGTGTGCCAACGGGATTTTGAAATTCATAACATCACACTGACGTTGGTGTGCCTAAGTTTCCGCCCAAAATTAAAAATTAGACCTTCACCTTAATTTTTCTTCCATTAAATATGCTATGGTGGGAAATTAACGACAATAGAGAATTCAAAGAATAGTTTGTCTTTTTAGAGTGGTTAATTGTTTCACCTGCAGATGTCCTTTGAGCAAAGCTTTGATAACTCAAATTCTGTAGTGGCGTTGAACGCAAGCGATGCAGCGCCGGAAAGCACGTAGAAAGGCGGCCCTGGAAGATGCGCGACGATACCATAATGACGACGATGATTAAAGACAGCGAAGTTGAGAAATTTCTTATTCTATGAACAAATCTTTGACAAGCTTTCTCGATAGCCACAACGTTTTATCGCCCTGTTAGTATGGTTTTCAGCCGGGTAAAAGCACTCAAACACTCTTTGAAGACTTTTCTGATCAGTTGAATGCAGGTTTCGATTATAATAAAGTTGCGTATGCGCTCCGTCTTGATTGCAGCAAGGCGTTTGATAGTGTCTATCATACCTTGTTTTTGAATAAACTTTTCTCATCAGGATTTAGAGGTGTGTTCTGGTGTTTACTGGATAATTTTCTACAAGGCAGTTGTCAACTATCATTAGTTGGACAATATTGTAGCGCTTTTCAAGCCATCAATACCGACGTTCCGCAGGGATCAAATCTTCGTTCATTGTTCAATATTTTTGTAAATGACCTGTATATTACGATACCGCTTTCTGTATATAATATGCGGATTACACGGTGATCTTGACATCTGCCAACAACATCTATGAGGCAATTACTCTCCTGCAGTCAGCTGCCACTAAAGTCGTGGTTTCGAGACAACCTATCAACATAAATGTGTCTAAAATTAATTTATTCTTCTTTCACAATCCATTGAAAAAAGCAATTATTGACTATTTTTTCATTTTGTATTGTTTTGATTGTCCGTCCTACTCTTGTGAACCATTGCAACATTCATCTGTTGGGAAGTACTTCGGCTTATACATTGATAGCGATCATTCTTGGAATAGACATCTCGCTTACATTTGCAAAAGACTTCGCGCTGCGTCATGTTTGCTATATAAGATACTATATGCCGTTTTCAGTATGAAAGATGACAACACAGTGTTACGAGCGTGCTGTGGACCACCGGCTGAAAGGCTCCCACAGGCAGTACCCGGAGCCAGACTATTTGAAAGGTGCCACACAAACGGCCTGCAGCAGCGTGTGGAACGTGTTTCGTGTTGTGCAGTGCTCTCGTCCCTTGCAGAGACACTGAGTGCGTTCGTCACGGTCACTGGGTGCGTCCACCAAAGACACTGGGTGCGTCCTTCGCAGGCACCAGAGGCGTCCGACGGAGACGCTGGACGTGTCTCAAAAGCGGTAGTGCAGCCTCCTCTTCGAGTGTCTCGGCATAAAAGACCGGCTGATATAGCGTCGGAGGCTTTCCCGTCCACGTTCTGTACATACGTTGTAAATATAATCGTTTTGTTTCCTTCTGGCGTTTCGCCTTGGCCCTGCCTGCATGCTCCCTGCCCGGCGTTAACCCTCGCGACACGCTACCCAAGAAGACCGGCGAGGCCTCCCTCTTCGTAACAACATGATCTATAGAGCGTGTTGTTACGAAGAGCCAGCACGCTCTATAGAGCGTGTTGGTACTGTAGCCTATAGCCTACAGTACACTGCGTTGTTCAATAACTATTTACGGATAATATACTGTCTGATGGCAGAACAGAATAAATAGTATACTACGTTCAATATTAATAAAATCTATCTTATGACCTCAACCTGAATTCTGAGAGAGACATGTTCAAAATGTTGTTAATACCTAATTTTACTGATCTATTATTACAAACCGTCGCCCTAAAACATTTTTGGCCCAATTAATTCCTGGTTCAATATGTCACTTCGCGTTCATTAAGACACCAAGTTCGTTATTAGAGAACAAAATGGTCAACAAGGTATGGAACTTGGACACGAGCACATGATGTTTCGCATTATTTCAATGTACGGCCCCCCAGCACTTTTGGCATAAAAACAAAATACCAAATAAAGAAACTGCTACGGTGCATTTATCTATACGTGCAATGTGCTTTTGGTGTTTTTTTATATGCACTCATTTGCAAGCATACTTCTGAGTAATCGTTCAGTGTGCCACTTTTCTTGTAACACATCGCTGTTTGTCTGTTTTTAGTTCGCTTTCAATTTTTGTAACTACCATATACTGTATATACTATATACGATTACAGTGTATATGCCCTGGGCTTCTAATATATTGTGCACGTTATTTTGTGCTATAATCTCTATTCTGCGGTTAACTACAATTATGTAACGCGTTCAGTTTTATTTTGTGCCTGCCAGGCTCTTCCGCTCAAGCATCCGATTGGCTTTGGCAGGCCTAGCCATATTTACTGCTTTATTCGGAGAACTTAAAGGTATTATTATTATTATTATTATTATTAGTAGTAGTAGTAGTAGTAGTAAGAGTAGTAGTAGTAGTACACATGTTAACAATACTTTATTTTCATTGAGGATACACATAACAATTAGTTATCACTCATTTTTAATATTTATTACACAGGTATTAAGAAACCGATTGTTTTCATGTGTATATTATTGCGCAGCAAACTTTCGTTTAGAATGTCCTAAAGCTTCTACTTTACAAATTACCAATTGCTTAAATTTTATGTCAATTTATAAAAGCGCTCAATTATTGGCCGATCCCCCACAGTGACTGTGAGCCACAGCTAATAAGTGAACGAGAACAAGGCACCGAGTTCTACGGTAGACTGCAAGAAGGCTTCCTAATATCGCTGGTAGCGTCCAAGGTGCAGCATGTTTTCTTCTTTTTTTCCCTTATCCTTACGCTCTTAATCTCTTTCAAGCATTGTCCTTGCTTCCCATACAAGGTAACTAACCACAATCACCACTGGCTTAACTTCATCGACTTTCTATGCACCTTTTTTCAATAAAATTTCTTGCAATGAATATAAATTGGTTTCTCCACTACACACACCATCTATGCTGGCAGCGCACGCTTTACAGGAATAGCAGTGCGGAAAGAATGGATGAGTGTGGGAGGAATCCACAGCTGCAAAATTGAAATGTTTTAAGCTAATGGCTGCACAATATGAAACTGAACGCATTGCTGATTAATTTACTGGAAGCAAGCTATCTGGCTTTTCTTGGTGTTGCGAAACGTATTGTAAGCCCACAAGGACCTCTGAAATAAGTTTCAAGTGTTTTGCCCATAATACCAAATAAATAATATTTAGGTGTTACTGAAATAACGATTTATGCACTCCGAACGGCCCCTATTCAGTGTTTTACACCTTTTATCAAGTGCATTCCTCTTTGTGGACATCTTAAAACCAAACTAGAAATTATGCTTTATGCTGGGACACCTTAGCCTGAAGTGCCTCCCAATGCAACTTACTCAACTACTCATCCATGGTCGTGTACCAAATTAACTGTGGCCAGGAAGAATGAAATCTAACCAATCAGGGTGTATAAGTTTATATCGATGTGCACCACAGCAATCATAAGGCTGTCGCAACTACTATTACCAAATGTTGGAAACTAAAAGATGTACCCTTCGCCTAACCCTTTGAGAAGCGCTAGATATTCAGTGGGCTCACTGGTAATCACAGAGCGAAATGGCACATCAAAATAAAAAAAACTACTGACAAGTTACAAGACAACACTACGGGTTATTGGCGCCAATTTGATGGAACACTTAAAGGACGCTACGTGTTAGTAAGTATTTGAACAAAATGAAATGAACATCCGCTGACAATCCTGTAAAATTACTCGGGAACTCGTAGAGGGACAGCGGATAGTGTAGCAACAGCGTGGAGTGAATTACATGCTTTTTCTACTCACTATTCTGTGAGCGGATGAATCGAAAATTTGTGATGAGACATCTTAACGCGGAACTAGACTCAGGTGATGCACTGACGCCTCATCCAAGCTTCTCTCTAGCAACACCACCATTTTCCTCTCAAAAACAAAAATGGAGCGCGATTGAAAACAAAAACACTGAAAGCTGCAGAAAAACCTCGGGTCACTCACGTTTTTAAAGGCAGCCAGTCAGGTGTGTAATCGATCAATCGCCCCGAGGACAGAGAGCCCGCCACAACCTGGCGTGCACCGTGTCGCTGCCGCGCACACATCGAGGGAGACGAAAGAAAAAAAAAAACCTTGAATAAAGCGGTAGCCCGAGAGTCAGCCAGACAGGAAGGAAAGGAAGGCGCTAGAAGAGAAAAAAAATGGCAATCTATAGAGAAAACAAAAGAAAGGGGCGAAATCAAGCAGTGCGCCG